ACGTTTTCAAGTTAACACTTTCACGAATTCTGCATAAGGTGTGCATCCTGTTAACAGATCCACTGGCAACCGAAGTTCACGACCAAACATCAGCTTTGCTGGAGTGTAACCAGTGGCTACATGCTTTGCTGTCCTATAGGCTATCAACAACATCCCAGTCATCTTGGCGGCTATTTCAAAAATTTGCCAATTCCTGTCCAAGTGTCGATTGTACTTTTCCACTATCCCATCAGACTGTGGGTGGAGTGGCGTTGTCCTGGTCTTTCGTATGCCAAACAACTTGCAGCATTCATGGAACACAGTTAATTCAAAGTTACGGCCTTTATCTGAATGCAGTTCGTATGGCATACCCAATCTGAAGAAGAAATCACTAATAGCCGAAGCTACAGTTGTAGCTTCCTGATTCGGTATTGCATATGCCTCAGGCCACTTGGTGAAATAATCCATCATCACACAAGTGTGCTTGTTTCCAGCACGAGCTTAGGGCAAAGGCAATGTCAATGGCTACTCTTTCCATTGGTGTGGCAACTTCATTGGAGCACGTCCCTTATGCTTGGGTCCCCTTTTAGCACGACATGTACTGAAGGTCCTGCACCATTCTTCCACGTCTTGCCTCATACCTATCCAGTAAAATATCTGCCGTAGGTGATTCAATGTCTTTTTAACTTCAAGATGTCCTCCTGTTAAACTATCATGGGATTGACGCAGCACAACTTCTCGTAACTTTCTCGTTATAACTGTTTGCCAGGTCGTCACTTTCCCATCTGCAGTTCCCATCTCCGGACAAGAACACCATCTTCGAGCTTCAACTGGTCCCATTGTGTCCAATAGTTCTTTGTCACAGGGCTTAAGCTATACACCTTCTCCGAAGTAGGGCGCAAAACACTTGCTTGTAGAAAATCAATTATTGGCTTTAAATCTTGGTCTTTCTCCTGTTCTGCTTTAATATCTTTACTTTGTTCCACTTCACCATCATCAACTCCTTCAGTCACTTTGACTTCAGCTTGATGGCACCTGGTTAGTTCAACCTCTCTTTTGCAGCAATGTCTGCAGGGTATTTGGCTCAGCCTGTCGGCATTTCCATGAGAATTTCCTTCTTTGTATTCAATATCATAATTATACTGATCTAACTTTCCGATACAATGTGCCAGTTGTCCCTCTGGGTTCTTTGATTATCTTAACCAGCGTAATGCAGCATGGTCTGTCTTAATGGTAAACCTAGCCCCATAGAGGTAAGGATGGAAATGTGTCAGACTCTTTACTATAGCAAGGAGTTCCCTCCGTGTTACACAGCAGTTCCTCTCTGGTCTCCTCAGAACCCTACTGAAGTAGGCCACTACATGTTCATTTTCACCCACTTTCTGAGACAACACTTCTCCAATTTCGGCAGTACTAGCATCACATTCCAGTATGTACGGCAATAAGGGATTTGGAAGCTTTAAAAGTGGAGCTGATGCCAATTTTTCTTTCAATGTCTTGAAAGCATACTGGCAAGAAACTGCCTATTCAAATTTCTGGCTTTTTTTGGTAAAATCATGTAGTGGAGTAGCTATAATTGCAAAATCCTTCACAAACCTCCGATAATAGGTAAAGAGTCCCAAGAAACTTCTTAGCTCTCCACATTGTCTGGTGTTGGCCAATCACGCACTGCCTTTACCTTGTCAGGATCAGTTCAAACACCATGCTCACTTACAATGTGACCCAAGTAAGCACCTCTTTCTGGAACAAGTGGCATTTCTTGGAATGGAGTTTGAGGTTTGCTGCTTTCAAGCACTTGAATACTTCCTCTCGCCGGGACATTTCCTCATCAAACGATGTTGCAAACACAATGACATCATCCAAGTACATTAGGGCTATCCTCCATTGTAGGCCTTCCAGTACTCTTTTCATCAGCCTCTCAAATGTTGCTGAAGCATTGCTAAGCCCGAATGGCATCAAACAGTATTGCCAAAGACCTTGGACATAACTAAATGCAGTCTTAGGTTTATCTGCTTCAGCCATTTTCACTTGATGGAAACCCAACTTTAAGTCCTGAGTTGAAATTGTCCTTTCTATTGGTTATAACTGATATAATATAAAACGTCGGAGAGAATTATTGGCTATTTGTGAACGATAGGCTGTTAAAGGTGGGCGTGGCAAGTGGGTCTGATTTTCCAGTTTATGATTCTGTAAAGAAGGAAGATTAAAGACTACAAAAATTAGATTTGCATTAGTAATATCTATATTATAATGAGTAATGTATAACAAATTCTGGACTTTAGAGAGGTGGTAAATGAATTAGAGATAGAGGAAAACCTAGATAACAAATGTTACAATTCCCATACAAAGGAAGAGTGAGGATTTATTTAAATATTTCCTCATAAAATTAAGAGGTTAAAACTTACATAATATTAACATTTGATGTATTAACCATGTTTTTATGTAATGTTTATTCGTATACATTGATAAAAAAGTTGTTGAATTAAATTTCGAATGTAACTCTGTAAAAGGTCGTGACATACGCACTTTGGCCTATTCTTAGTGAGAGGGTTAAATGAAACGTTAAAGCATAGATATATTATGCATTAAGTTACCCTTTAATAACGACAGTGTACTTGAAAACAAGATCCTTTAACACTAGTGCTTTATATATTAATAAAAAAAAACATTTAACAGTCAACTCTTAACCTAGACATACACTGATTTAATAAAATATACAGGAAAGTAAATCATAACCATAAAAAAGAGAGGTCGACACATTAACTTAATATTTATTTATTTACAGCTTAGGTGGAGAGAACAGTGAAATTTACTTAAAGTATTCTTAACAGCAAGTCTGTCAACACACAGCTCCGTATTTTTGGTGCACTATAGTTTGTTTGTTATGAATTTTGTGCAAAGCTACACGAGGGCTATCTGCGCTAGCCGTCTCTAATCTAGCAGTGTA